CCGCAGGTTTGTTCATTGCACCAGTAAGAGGAGCCTACCACTTTGAGTTCTATATAGCTGCACATGGACACGGAGAGCATATTTTTGTCTACGGTGTTTCTCAAAGTCTTGGTGTCTTACTGTGGTGTTTTAGAAGGATTTGTGACTATTTTCATCAATTCAGTGATTTATAACAAAATAAATAAGATAAATTCAGCACCAAATCTGTGTAACAAAAGGTATCAACACAAAAATTGCTGCAACAACTTATGAGAGTTAATTAATCATGGTAATGCCCCCTACCCCCCATCCCCCTTAAAAAAGAGGGTCCCTAAGGGTTAATGCAATTGCATCCGTTTTCTGTTAGTCACATACTGTATATATATATATATATATATATATATATATATATATATATATATATACTATTATTATTATTGCCTGTGCAATTGAGGAACGCAGAGAATACATCTCTCTGCTTTTGTCCAACGTAAGTGACAGATAGACAATTACTCAGCCGGCACTACACTAACTTTCAATTTGCATCTTTTACATCTTGCTAATAGTGTTATCACGAATACAACATTATGATCAGGGCTATAGTCAAAACCACTTCAGTACAGTCTGCAACAGTCAAGAACAGATGTAAAGAGGTCAAGACAAAATTCAAAACTGAGACCAGGACACACTGAGTCGATAAAAGGCGTTCTTGTCTTTATTATGCAAAATATTTAATGAGTTAGTTAAAATGAAGAGAGATGGTAGATTTGCGTGAGCGCTGTATGGAACCCTTTTAACATATATTACTATTACTAACAATTGTAGGATTCTGCAGAATCTATGATAAATGTTATGGTCAGGCATTGTTCCTTAAATTATTTTTTACTTGTTTGAACATTTTGTAAACATTTGTTTGTCTGGAAATATTCTGTGTTGAGAACCCACACAGGTCTGAATCTGAGTTAAAAGTATAAGATGGCGACAGCGATCGCCTACAGCATCAGAAGTGGTGTAGACACAGGACTAAAGTGCTAAAGTCCTGGTTAAATTCATGAATTCGTGATACAGTAAATATGTGTGTCAAGGTCAAGATGAACAATAGAAATAGAAATAGAATATAATGTTTTTCCACATAATCTACCACATTTAAAAACTAGAAAGATACTTAATTTTTTGCCATTTGGCCTGATATTGATTTGAGTGTGAACAAAATCCAATAACGATATTTTGGTCAATATGTACTTTTAACATAATTATTCTTGATAAGAACTCTTTATATTTGGTTATTTAAAAAAATTGACAAAAAAACAGTTACATAAAAAACAAATTTGTCAGTGTTATCCACTGGAAAATGTATTTGCAACACTGTTTCTTGATTACCTCAAACATACATGTATGTTTGGTATTCGTTGCTGCAATTTCTTGTCAATTAAAGGCAGACATATATATGCATATAATATCAGCCATGTTGAAGTATTGGTTGGGCTGTATTATAGATCATTTAATTCCAACTTCTGTCCTCACGTGTAGGTCAGACTGGCTGTTACTAGTATAGAATACATCGCAGAGAGCGTGAGCAACAACAAACTGGTGCGGGCAAGTAAAGAGTGTCGACCGATTCTCACCAGGGCCCTGCTTGACCTCCACACAAATATCTCCTCTGACTCCATTTTGTATACCCCTTTGGCCCGCCCACGACTGCCTCCTGCCATCCTGTTGGCTGTTGGAAGCTGGAGCGCTGGCAGTCCCACAAATATCATCGAGGCGTACGATTTCCGTGCTGATCGCTGGGTCAATGTACCAAACAATGACGAGAATACTCCCCGGGCCTACCATGGCGCAGTTTTCCTCGATGGATCAGTTTACTGTGTCGGTGGCATCAACAGTGTTCAGCAGTTCAGCTCTGTGCACCGGTTTGACCTGGGCACGCACACCTGGCAGGAGGTGACACAAATGCATTCGAGCCTCTGCTATGTCAGCATAACTGTGATGGACGGGTGCATATATGCCATGGGAGGTTATGATGGACATGATCGACTCTGAAGTGCTGAGCGCTATCAGCCCAGAATCAAGCAGTGGAATGTAATTGCTCCAATGCATGAGCAGAGGAGTGAAGCCAGCTGCACAACCATCAATGGCAAGGTGGGTGGAGCTATAAAGAGCAGCTCTGAAGAGAGTGTTGCTGGGATGACATATCTTTGTAGGCCAACCCTGGAAGTTAGCATCGCAGTGGTTCCTTCCACGAAAGGCTGATGAGATTTTGGACTATTGCAGAAAAAATGCTCTGTGGGCAAACACAAGTTTATGATACTGAATGCAAACATCAGAATTAAAAAGATAACATTTGGCTAAAAGCAAATGAGTGCGAGTAATGGAATAATCCACCTGACTATGAGCTGTATTGTCCTGTAAATAAATGTATCAAATCAGTGCTGCTGTAACTTCAGTCATAACAGTTTTAAAGTTTGTGTGACAGCTTTGTGCGACCTCACTATTAATTAGTGAAAGAAAACATTTATCGCCTTGGAGAAGAATCAGAATGTCACAAAGGCTGTCAAAGTGAGACTTGATATTAGTTAACAGCATGAATATTGATGATTCTGTGTACTTCATCCGTGTTTCATGCAACACAAACACTAGGTTACTCCAGAGTCTACTTTTATCAACGTACTACACTATGACTTTTTGGGGACTTTATTTTGATATACTATACTATGACTTTTCTCGACATACTATACTATGACTTTTTTTGACATGCTATACTATAATACCGAAAAAGTTATAGTATACTAAGTCGAAAAAGTCATAAAAATGTCATAGTATAGTATGTCGTGAGAAAAAAAGTCATAAATATATCAAAGTATAGTTAATATGACTTTTAAAATAATAAATAAAATAAGTCATATTATAATACATTGAAAAAAGTCACAGTATAGTATATCGAAAAAATAATTAAATAGTATAGTAATGAGGTAAAAATGAAACACCAAAGTATGGTTTACATTTTGTACTACCTTGTCATTTTCAAGTGCCTTCATCATTTCAAGTGTTGATTCTACGAATAAACATTATTTCTGTCATCTGTCACCTTCATCATGTGACTCCCAGTTAGTTAGTTAGTTAGTGAGTAAAAGTAAACTGATCGACATCAATGTACCAAAATGATGTCACTAAATATCACTGAATGCAAGTGAAGCAGACGGTGTAATATCTTCTATTCGGTTTTGTCCTATTGTGTCGACATACTATACTATAACATTTTTATTACTTGTTTTTTACAAACTATAGTGAAACTTTTCTGATGTTTTCTGACATACTATACTTTGATTTTTTTGACATGCTAATGTTGGGACTTCACCATGTGGCTCAAACAAAGAGAGAGGCCTTCTTGTAATTTCGAAAGCCTAAACCGGTTTAAACCAGGCCATCCCCTATCAGGCATCAACATCTTACTTATATGTGAGATTTAGTTCGAACCGCAACACTGGTGTCTCATTAGACGAGAGCCACTGGAACGTCCTTGTCACACTTCATGAAGTCACCATAGCTATTTAAACCGGCCTTTACCTTCACTCTGTGCCATCCAATCTGACATGATTCTTATAAAAGGAGGTGAAACATAACCCTTAGGTGATAGTCTTAACTTCACTTTTGGATCCCGAAAAAGAAAACAGATAACTTTCCCTGTGCTTTGACACTTTAACCTGCAGGAGGAAGATCATGGAATTCCCGGATTCTTCAAGTCGATATTTGCTTGTTTGTTTAGTTTAAGTTAACTGTACCATTTACCGTGTTATTGTGTATTATACGGACCGCTGAGTCCCGGTCAGTGTGTAAAATGACTGTTGTTCTGGTAAAGTCGGTAAACTGTACTTTATTAGTTAAAGGCCCTGTGCCGCGGCTGCTGAACCTGAGTTCACCAATCAGGCTTCTGTGTGATAAAGTTACAGTTGCTTACTTTACTGCTGCATGAGGCTTTGCCTGGTATTGACACACACACTCACATACACACTGTTATATTTTAAGGAGCCATTTCTGTGATTATTTTGTGCATATGTGTTGTAATAATAGCTGGATGTTATAGTCTATGCAATTCAAACCCTCACTGTTCCCTCTGAATGTAGAATACTACCTTAAATATTGACATTGTGAGTGAACACCAATTTTGAGACTTTGATACACATTTTGGTTATTGGTCCCTGCAGGGTAGTGCCCCGTTATTGTTAATATATGCTATTATTATTATTATTATTATTATTATTATTAATAATAGTATTAATATAAAAAATAAGAATTCATACTTGCTAATAACCAAACGCGCTCTTGCCAGATCGCAAAACTATACTATGTTTTTTTTACGTACTATACTATGACTTTTTTCAACATAGTATACAATCAAATTGTTATGACTTTGTTTCACATATACTTTGACTTTTTTCGTAATACTATACTAAGACTTCTTTTCTGACATGTCGCGACATTCTATGACGTTTTTTAAGACTTACTACACTATAACATATTCTCTGACATTTCATTGCTTATTGTACTTCGACTTTAAATCCAATTTTTCATAGCCATACTATGCTATGACTTTCTATAGCACTTTCATGGTATACTATTATCTCACACACTAACCTGACAGATGCGGCGAGCTCACAAATACGCATTGGAAATGTCATTTAAAAAGCACACAGGTTTTATTGCATATCAATTTCATGTATAAATTCTTCATAGCATTGGAAAGATTACATTTGGTATACATTGCTATTCTACAGAATTAACGTCAGAGTCATATCTTTTCAATGAAATTTCTCTAAAGTACATCTTCAATAATCACAAGCATCAAAAGAACTGCAATTTTCAGAATTGTTCAATATTATTCTACAATCCTTTATTGTTTTTCATTATGTCTTCTCCCACAACTCTTTTCTAATGTCTTTCAGAGCCACTTGCCCAAACATCTGTAAGGCAGTCAAGAACTTGAAGTCAAACCTACCAAACTAACCACATGTACAATAAGTGCATCTACGGATTTATTTTTTTCTTTCATTTTTTTTTTCTCATTTTTTGATTTGATACACATTTCACAAATGGACATCATTATGACTGCTAAACACGTCATGCACAATATCTTTTTTTGTTTTCCATAAACATAACAGAGGCGATATACAACTCAGATTCAAACAAAACAAGCACCATCCATTTAAACCCATATTTTTTCAATGATTTTTTTTTTCTTCAGACAAATGCACCATTGTTTTTCATTCTTTAAAATACTATACAGTTAAAAAGAAACAATATGTATATTTTTACTTTCTCCTGTAACAGTGGGGGAAAACAGCAACCATGTTCTATTATGCTGAAACATATCTCAGCGACCATCTGCCAGAATACTTTCTGAAGTTGGCAAAATGGAATACTTCAATGCCTTCAATTCTTTTGCTTTACACAGCGCGTACTTATTACAGTAGTCCATGACATGAATTACTACATATAGTCACCTAAACTAAAAACTTAGCAACCCAAGCCTTTACATTTTATAACCACAACTTGAGAAAACAATGTGTTTATCATGAATGAAATCTCATTCAGTAGAATTATAAAAAAAGACTTTCTGTCTTTAGAAAAAATGAGATGATGCAGCAGTCCTCCTCGGCCTCACACTACCACCTGCTGTTGTGAATACAAATTACAGTGCTTCTGTTCCAGAATTTTCTTATCTCTCCATGTGAAGCTCAAGCTGCTTACCTACCGAAAGTGAAACTAGTCTGAAAATGCATCTGTGTTCTACGTTCTGGAGACCTAAGCCTGATCAATTTATGGCTTGGACCCATATGGTTTAAGTACTAGTTTGAAGCATCAGGCCTAGTTCTGTGAGTCCCAGTACGCAGGGAGGACCAAGGCAACAATTATCAACAATGCTCACGCCC